TGAGCCTGTCTCTCAATAATAATACAGTGTGTGATCTCCTGTCCCACCCTGAGGAACAGACAGTGAGCCTGTCTCTCAATAATAATACAGTGTGTGATCTCCTGTCCCACCCTGAGGAACAGACAGTGAGCCTGTCTCTCAATAATAATACTGTGTGTGATCTCCTGTCCCACCCTGAGGAACAGACAGTGAGCCTGTCTCTCAATAATAATACTGTGTGTGATCTCCTGTCCCAGCCTGAGGAACAGAAAGTGAGCCTGTCTCTCAATAATAATAATAATAATAACAACAATAATAATAGGTGGCACAGTGTTGCAGTGGTTATCATTGCTGCCCTGTAGCGCTGGGGCCCTGGGTTCAACTCCTGGTGTGCTCTATGTGTGGAGTTGGTATGTTCTCCCAGTATTCACGTGGGTTTCCTTCTACCGTCTAGAGACGTGGGTAAGTGAATTGTCTTCTGAGAAAACTGGCTCCGGTGTGAGAATGTGTGTCTGGGTCTGTCAAGGGTGTATCTCACCTTTCACCTTTCACGCAGTGCTTCCTGGGAGTAGGCTGCGGACCCCTGTGACCAGGGGAAAATCATTGAACATTGTACTTCCGAATCCGACCAGCAGATGGCAGCCTGACCCAGCAATTCACCGCCAGCTGCTCCTCTTGCTTCCTCTGCTGACACCCAGGTGGGAAATTTGCATTGCAGGCAGGTACGCAATCGTGCCAATATATTCGGAACCGCTGACAATTGTAGACTACACCTTTTCACCACTGTTGGTTTTCCAGCCGGTTGATTTTTATGATTCACTAGGAATGACAACACCCAAGATCAGAGCGTGATGAACTATTGTGGAGCGAATATTGGCTTAACCCGCTTGGCTGAGGGCCGACCTCCTGGCGCACAATACATCTAGCACAACACGAGCCCATTTTCAAATACGAAACACAATCACGAGACGAGACAAACAAATTGGCAGCTAAAGTTATCGTCACCATTTAGAAAAAAAAGAAGAAATTGGGCCGTATGTGAGTAAGGTTGACACATCTATGACGAAGAAAGAAAAAAGTCAAAAACACAAGCAGTTGTCCAGATTAAGCTGGTTAGTAGCTGTAAGAATAAAGGAGAACGTGGTTCTATTGCACTTAAATCGACGCCCAGACAGAAGGAGCTCAGGTTCACAGTTCAAGGGGTGGTCATGAGAATCTGTGATCATACTGTCTGTGATCATACTGTTTGTGATTATACTGTCTGTGATTGATTATACTGTCTGTGATTGATTATACTGTCTGTGATCAAACTGTCTGTGATTGATTATACTGTCTGTGATCATACTGTCTGTCTGACAGCTGCAGCTGGAGCTCTGATGACTTTGCTGGCTGCCTTCACAATCCTGCTCAGTCTGTTTCTATTGTGTGCTCAGGTTACCAAACCGGGCTCCTGCAGTGAATGTTAGGACGGGTTCAATGAAAGCTCTAGAGGATAAAGTCATGGTTGTAGCACACATATTAAAGGAGAACTGCAGTCCCAATGTCTCAGATAGGTCATTAAATCTTGGTACAAGAATACGTTCTTTGAAGTTATAGAAAAAATTACAAATTTCCAATTGAGCACAAAATTGTGAACTTTGCAAAGCCCTGGTCTCGCCAGAGGGAAGTGTGAGAGTAGTCCCCACGAACTATGGCCCTTCCTGCTCACTAGTCCCGGTAATGACTACAGTAACGGGACGTGCGAGTGAATGAGTACAGGTTCTGCAGCAGACATCCCACCACAGAAGTGTGCCAACGTGATCCGCACGCAGAGCTAGACAGTAAATTGTATTTGTTGGCAAAACCGAAAGCAATATTTCTATTGGATTAAGAGCTGTTTTCACAAGCCGCACTCGTCACCGGAAAGTTCGCCGCCTCGTTCTGAATCGCAGAACATGACGCTGCGCATACCTGGAAAATTTTGTCTCTGTTGTGATGGAAATTGGAGGTTTTATGCGCTGCTGTGTTCTTTTTCGTATTCACTGGGGTTTGAGACGCACGATTCTTTCTGACCCTGAAACCTGAAAACAGGGCTGCGGGTCCCCTCTACAAGAGCAGAGTTTCGTCAGGAAAAACAATCACTCTCGACTCTTCCTGCACAGGGCATCTGTGTTTTCCCCAAAGGTTAGTTTTTATCAGCAATCGTGCCAACATATTAGATAAGAGATCAGATCACTTTATCAGCCCTATACACTTTCTTGCATTAGGCCTTTGTCTTTTCACATACCTCAGCTTGCTCTCCATGAGACACACAGACAGGGAGAGAGAAGCCTGAAGTCAGAGCACAGCATCAGCCATTGTACAGCACCCCTAGAGCAGTTGAGGTTAAGGGCCTTGCTCAAGGGCCCAACAGAGTAAGATTCCTTTGCCGGACGCAGGATTTGAACCAGCAACATTCCAGCCACAAGCCCAGATCCTTAGCCACCACTCCACCAGTAACCACTGGCAATTGTGGGCTACGCCTTTTCATCACTGTTGGTTTTGCAGCCGGTTGATTTCTATAATTCACCAGGAATGACAACACCCAAGATCAGAGCGTGATGAACTATTGTGGAGCGAATATTGGCTTAACCCGCTTGGCTGAGGGCCGACCTCCCGGCCACAGGACGAGGAGGCCAGGACCCCCCCGCAGGGTGACCAAGGGGCAGCTGCAGAGGTGGAGTTGGGGTGGAGGTGGGATGCAAAAGTGGCACGCGAGGGAGAGTAGGAAATCCTGCTGGTATTTATAGCGTTCGGTGGAGGAAGGACGAAGGGAGTGATTGCAAATTACTGACAGCTGTGGATGATTGAGCGTGGTTGTTGTCATCCCTCCCGAACTTTCGTTATCAACTCCGTTCATTGATCGCGTCTTTGGTCATGCGGTAGATCGAACTGATGGGAGGAAGGAGGTGCAACAGCACTCAATAAAATAGTCCACCCCACTGGCCCATGACCGGGGTCTGTGACCGGGGTCTGTGACAGCTACAGAGTCCTCAGCTGTCTTAGCGATACGTCTGTCCTCCAACGGGCCACAGCACCGCCAGGCAACAGTGACGGTCAAGACCAGACGCCAGATGTGGGTAGCTGTTGGGATCGAGTCTGTCTCCACTCTTATAGATGGGCGTGCTCAGGCGGGAGGAAACATCCGGCTGTCACGATGAGATTGAGGAGTTTGAGCAGGGCTTGTTGCAACTTCGGGTTGCCGTGTTTCAGCGTCTCGTTGTTGACTCCATCGTGGCCGCAGGCTTTGCGTGGTCTGAGGGGCCTGGAGTTTGTCCAGTAGCTCCTGCTCAGTGATCAGGGAGTCTAAGGGGTTTTGGTTGTCTTTGATAGCCAATTCCAAAATTTCGAGTTTTTCATAAACGGTGCTGTGGTCTGATTGATTTGTATTTGGGAGCTTTTGACAGAGATTTTCACAGTGTGTTTGCCAGATGTTCCATTGTGGACGGCCGGTCCTTCTGGTTTTGATTGAACTTGTTCCACTCCTCCCAGAAGCCGCTCTGACTGAGTGACGAGTGGCGTGCTCGGGTGCGTGCTGGAGAAGTCTTGCCGTGTCGCAGTACCCGACGGCGCAGAGCTGTGCTGTGTGGCTGTCTGTGTGTTTGATCTGAGAGTTCTCGGTGTGCTGTTCCGTTGCGTTTGCACTCCCTATAAAAAACCACAGTTGTTTCGCTTTTGCTTTTCGGGGGTTGTTGTTTTTTACCCGCCCCACCCTGTACTTGTGTCTCCCAGATGTAAATGTTTAGACCCATTTCCATGGAGTTATTTGGATTGGATGGGAGCTCCCAGGCGGCGAGGAAACACCCTTAGCCCTCAGCTCTTCACCCTGGACCGATTCCCACGGAAGGCTGGCCCGCAGCTGGGATCGTCCCTGCACTCCGGCTGGGTGGCGCGTCCTCGGACTGCCAGGCGATGAGAAACGAGCAGTTTCCCATCATAACCCCTTTCCCCGGGTTTCTCCATTCCTCGTTTTATTATCTTTTTTTTAATCTGCAGACTGCACCGGGCGACAGAAGGGAAACTCTTTCTCAGGCTCTCCACTGGCGCGCAGGAAACAGAGGAAAGAGTGCGAAGGGACCTACAGCCTAGGCGACTCTCTTAACACGCAAGCCAGGACTCGGCGCACTGCGGGAAGAGCTGATCCTCGCGGTGGGACCCGCCCAGCGCACGGCTCCGTCCTGCCTCGAAGACACTCTCTGTGTAGAGACTCTGGCATTCAAATTCGCAGCGCTGAATGAGCACAGCCTTGCCAACGAATTAACAGTGAGAAAACACCGGACAACAATAAAGTTAGACCTAGTAGAGGGCTGTGGGGGGCTATCCCAGGAAGCAACAGGCGCAGGGCAGGGTACACCCTGGACAGGACACCA